TTGACTTGTTTCAGGAAATGCTACCTTGCCCTGCCTGCCTTCAAACTAACATAGCTAAAGACCTCTTTCTACAGATAGCTGCAGAAGAGGGTTGTTTGTCAACTTTAAGACTAGGTTAGACAATCCATCTAACTAGGTGCTGGCTCCTACCCTGGGGGTCTTTAAGAGGAGGCTTGATGCCTACCTAGCTGGGATCATTTGAGCCCAGTTTTTTCTCCTGCCCAGGCTGGGGTTCAGACTTGAAGATCTACAAGGTCCCTTCCGACCCTACTTCTATGATTCTATGATGATTCTATGAATCACTTGTCTAAGATTATTTGGATGAGGATATTTTTGCTTTGAGCGTGGTGGGGTAGGGAGAGGTTACATGTATTACTACATCTCTGCTGCCCCACCATAATCCTCTCCAACCTTTTTAAAGTAGTCAGTGGTCTCCAGCCTTTTTCAAGTAGATCACCTTTGACATTTAAAAGCAACCCAAGATCTACTGTGTGCTGCCACCCCATCCTCCCCCCCACCCAGCACGTTAAGTCTGTGGAAAGGGAAGGGGGGGCCGGATCAAGACAGAGGGAGAAAAAATTATTTGGAGGTATGCATCCCCAGCAGGTAAGTCTGACCCAGCCAGGGCCCCACTCAATTTATCCCTGCTCCTGCCTCTGCAGCACTGTCCCTCTCTGCCAGGGCCTCGATCTAGCCCCGGCCTCTTCCCTCCCCCAAGAACTGACCTGCTGGGCCAGGGCATGTGCGTGCTCCAAGATATACTGCAAGCGGCTCCGAGATCTACCGGTGGATCGAGATTCACTGGTTGGTGACTACTGCTGTATGTTAACTTGCTATAACATGATAGTTCATCCATATTCCAAAATTAGTTGATTCAGGTTTTTTTTTAAATGATCTGACCCATACTTTTAGACTTCCCTTTGGAACAATCAATCCAATGGGCTAAATTAAAGAATTCCAGGCAATTGATATATAGTTCCTCCATCAAAGATCACAACAGCGTAAGATTCCAGGCATCCCATGCTCCAGACATCACAACTGCTAAAAACTGAGAAGTGTTTGATTCTGCACAATTTTCTTTCACCTACAGAAACCTACTCAGCTCTAGGAAAGGAAGCTCTGGAGAAGGGCACAAGTACCTCATCAGTATGTAGACAATCTCTAGCTTATAACTTCAGGAACTTACGAGACAGTCTCTGGTATATCCTCTGCTTTTTTGAAACGGCCTGACCATAGGAAAATCCTCTTGTCCCAGTCTGTGGGCCTGTGTCCTGGCATTTTGAATGAAGGCTGACCTAAACCAAACGAGGACAAGAAAGACTATCATTATAGTTAAAACAATACCAGTTAGGTTGAACACCACAGATCTCCTTGCCCATGGACCCTGATTTTAGCTTAACCTTTCGGCTTCCTGGCCTGGTTCTGGTTTGATCTCCTGGATCCCAGATCTGGCTTGACCCTCTGGATTTCTGACTCTGTTCCTCAGACAGATCTTCTGACTTCTGGCTTCCCTACGCTCTGACTGTGTGCGCTCCCCTTGGTTCTTAACTGTTTCTTTTGATGCTGGGTGCAGACCTGGCCACACATGGCCTGGTATGACATGTACTGACCAAGGATGAGAGACAGACAGCGAGACTATTTTTACCACGGTGATAATTTTAAGAGGTAGTTGGGAAGCTAGCGTGTAAATATTTGAGTAAAATTTTGGTCAAGGTCAATGCCCTTGCCTTTTTTAAAAGAATTCTGATTTTCATTTCCATTCATAAGATACATCATTAAATTCAGATTCAAATCCAGTATTTTACTGCAGACCTGGGGAAATTTTTCTTCTAATGATAACAAGGGAAATTTTAAGTCCTAGTTTTAGTTCTTATCCCAGTAATTATACATTCAGAATGCTCCCACAATATTCTAGAGTTGGCCACTTGTTCCAGTAAAAAGTATGTATATTTAGAAGTGGTATGATAGTCAAAACAGCACTGAGACTCTCAGCAAGCAGTAATCCATGAAACTGCCTTTCCTATGCACTGCACGATCATTCTGACAGAAGGCAGGGTAGGTAGGTGGCACCTTAAAGAGAGGCATGAACTTTTGTAGGTAACAACTTCGTCAGATGCTATTCGTAGATCTATGGACAGCAAAATAGTTGTTAGAAATAGCTGTCATTTAAAATGTGATCCTTGAGATGCAAGTTAGAAATTGTTGCACTGGAAGTGTGTAAAGCAGTTCACATGTTGGAGCAAGTGTTTCAGACACTCTACAAACTTCTGGAGATATAGTTATCAGTGATTACATTTACATCACATTTTGAAAGCTCTTTTGCAGCCCTGGTAACTAATGACTTCTGTTAATATAAGCTAAATCTCTGGACAACAGTTTAACAGTCAGTCCTCACCTCACCAACCCCAGCTAGCTTCATACTTTCACTGGCCTTATGGTGCACACCCCACAATTTGGGAAACACTTCCCTGTCATGATGTACCTTATGCCTATTTTGCATAGGTGTCAATAATGACAGAAGGTGCAAGGCAATGGAGAATGAGGCCTGTGGCTTTTTAGGAAATGGAAGCTTAGATTCTGGAGCATGATTCTGGGCAAAGTGTGGTTTATGCAGCATTTCCTTTGGCCTCAGAAACACCAAATCTGCAAGGCATTAAGTAAGATTTGCTAGCTTTTCATTTGTTCTCATTGATTCTGCTCATTTCATGGCTGTTAGGGTTGGAAGGGACCTCAATAGATAATCAAGTCTGATCCCTTGCCATGGGCAGGAAAGTGTGCTGGGTTCAGATAACCCCAGCCAGGTGCTTGTTCAGCCTCCTCTTAAACATCCCCAAGGTAGGTGAAAGCAACCACCTCCCCTGGAAACCTGTTCCAGATTCTGGAAACATTTACCATAAAGAAGTTCTTTGTGTATATGATTCCTTCTCCTCTTTAGTTTCAGCAGTGCCCACAAGAATATATGAAAGGGTCGTGAACAAGCTTTACAAATGGTTTCTTCTTTAAAGAAGAAAAATGTGGGGAACTGTGGCTTTCCCCTTGCAGGCTGGCAGAGTTCCAGCCTGCAAGGAGCTGCTTGGGGCCCCACATCCCCCCCCCTTGGGAGGCAGTAGGTAGGGAGTTAGGGGCACTGGGTTGGGACTGGCCACAAATGTGTCCTGGTACAAAAAAAGGTTGAGAACCACTGATCTAGACATTACTGCCTTCAAATCATGGTCAATGTGAAATATCTTTAGCACAGTCAAGGTCTCAGGTGCCAGCTGGAAGAGCCTCGAGGATGATCATGGAAATAAGAAGAAAACAAAATACAGATTTCCCTTGCTTTATGTAGGTTTTGTATGTGTGAATTTGCTCTTATACAATGACCCTTTTTATACCAAAAATTCATTATATGTGAGGTAAGTTCACTCTTATGTGATCAGTGTAGCGCAAGTCCACAGTCAGCTACTTTGTGCAGTGCATTGTGGGAGTGACACACACCAAAATATAGTCTCTCCTGTGTGGATCTGTGCTCCTTGCTTGTCGTCTGTGACATGTTTCTGTAGTTGCCATCCCGATTATAGCTTCTAAACATCCCACTTGCTTACCTCCTATCCCTCTCTCTGGTCCATCAATGGAGACTTCACCACTCTCTTCACTCCAACTAAACATTCACTACCACCCTGGGCTTGTGTACTGTCTGCTGCTGGTGAATACCGAAATTGTCTTGTAAAAGTGGTAGAAATGGGTCTGGGGGTCAGTACAGTTGAGATGTTGGAACATATCCCTATTTGTTACATAATAAAGTGGGTTCCCTTTATGCAAATTTGAGTTATGCACCATTTTCCAGGAACCCATGTACTGCATAAAGCAAGAGAAACCTGTATTTAAAGCTTGATGTTCTGTGAAGAGAAGAAACAAAAATACCTAGATCAGACACTACTACAGACCTGATCTGCTGATGAACTAATTCCAGCTTGCCCCAAACCCCTACCTTTCAAGTTTTGATTGATCCCCTCCTGGGATTTACTGCAGAATCCTCTCCTTATCCTCAGATCCATCCCTTTAGTCAGCCTCAGACTCAGTGGAACCTTCTTCTGCAACATCGTCATCGGTCTGACTGCAAACCAGAAGAAACAGACAGTAAAGGACTGAACAGAATCCAAAGAGCTCGTAGTGAAACGGAGAGTGAGAGGTAGACACGCAGGATACTGTATAAGAAACAGAGTAACTCTCCATGCTGGAAGCTAGGACAAAAAAGATGAGGTGAAGACATATTGCAATGGAACAGGATGCTAAGGGTGTAACAACAGAGCTTGAGAGGAACAGAAAACCGAACATATTAGTACTTGTGCCTGAACTTGCCCTGCCCGCACAGACATGGAGAGTGATGCAACTTCCTAAAGACAATGGGACATGTAGCAACTGCATTTCACTTCTACTTTCAGATGCCTCACATTCAGTTTGGGCAGTGCTGCTTCCAGGACGCACTAGGCTTTTATCTGACTTTCCATACCCCAAAGGTCAGCACAGACTTAAGGCAGAGGTAGACAGGCAAAGAAAAAGTACACAGTGATGAGCCAGCTGTCTTGCTAGGTAGGAAAAGAAAAGAAAAGAAAAAGGCACAGGTGGAAGCTAAATGAAGCCTGATGGCAGCTCGTGCTACATGCAGGGAAATGCTGAGTTACGAGGTCTTTGCCAGGCACCCTAAAACCACTTGCTTCACGCCCCTCAACCGCAGGCTAGTTTCACAAAGAGAAAGTCTCTCTTTTTTTGTGGAAACTTCAGCCCTTTTACTTGCTGCGTAGGCCCCGCTTTCAATCCTTTTGAAAAGGAGAGGAAGGAAAGAGGGGCCCGAGCCCGACCGGCCGCAGGGCGGCTCCGTGGCTCGGTCTGAGCCCCCGAAACCGGGACCAGGACCGGGACCGCCAGGGGGGCGGGTACTCACCGGGCAGCACCCCCATGGTGAGTCCGTGCAGCTGCTCCTAGGCCCGGGCCGAGCTCCAATGTCACTTCCCCCCCCCTTCTGCGCGTGCGCACGCCAAGCCGAGCCGAGGGCGAATCAGGTGGCGGCAGGGCCAGGGGCAGGGTTTGCGCGTGCGCCGCGACTCCACCACCCCTGGCTGCACGCGCCAGCCGGCTCGCCCCCTCCCCCCACGTCCTGATTGGCCGGAGGCTCCCGCCCTCCCCAACATGGCGGCGCCCGGTGAAGGTGCGGGCTGCGAGGACTTCGCCGAGTTCCAGGTGGGGGCGAGGGCAGCCCGGGGGGGCCTACAGCGGCGGAGACGGGTGCGCGCGGGCCCTGGCCGCAGCCGGCCTCGTGCCGCCCCGGGCTCTCGCTTCTGCCTGGGCCGGCCCATGCCGGGGACGGATGGGCGGGCATCCTGCTGCCCAGTGCTGCGGTGCCCGGGCCCGGACAGCCCCACCTGCGGGCCCTGCGCATGTATTGGAGTCCGGCGCAGATAGAAGAGCGGAGGCCCCCACAGCCCGCTGTACAGACGGACGTGCGGGCTCCTGCGCGGGACGGCCCTGCCCGTCTCCTTC